GGACACCCTGTAAGCAGTTCCCACCGCCGCACCGGACACCCAACCCTGCACAGCACTGTCCCGGGACACCCTGACTTGCTCTGCACAGCTAAATTCAGAGCATTGCCTTCATCCAACCTCTGCTTCTTGTTGTCTCTCCCTCTCTCATCTGCAGTACTTTCCAGATAATCTTCCCTTTGTCCCTCCTATTTTCTTTCACCCATTTCCCTGGCGGTTGCTTTTTGGAGCAGTGTTTGCCCCTGCAGAGTCCCCACAGGCTCCTGCTTCCCAACAGATGTGGCAGGAAGAGGAGGCAAGAGCTGAAGATGCCCCCAGCTCTTTGGGGGGTGTCTGCTGTGCTTGTGGCCAGAGAGGGAGGCTGCCAGGGTGTCCAGCTCGCGGTTTGCACTGGAGTGGCTCTTGCTGCTGAGGCTGCACTGAGGATAAGCCCCTCAGGCCACCACAGGGAGGACAGGAGGTGCGTGCATCTTGCAGGGCTGTAACCTGCTGGGTTAACCGTGGGCCCCTATAGTTACGCTGGGGAGGGGTCAGAGCCCCCAGTACCTCTCCAAGTTCAGGCCCCTCCTGCTGCTGCTCCATGGCCAGCAAGAGCTGCTGCTTCCCAGCGAGAGGAGAGGGTGACAGTGGGCCTGCTAAATATTATTTGTTCCCCTTACTTATTTTTTTCTCAGCAAGTCTTTAACTTGACCCTGTCCACTCGGTTTGTGCTGTTGCTGGCCCCCTGCTTCCCCTTTCTGAAGGCGAGTGTGTTTGTTTTCATGCCGGAGGGTGACCTGCTGCGCCTGTGCGTGGATGTGTGCAACAGCGGGGCTGCCGCTGGCACGCTGCACTTCTTCCCACCATGTGCCCTTGCACCCCAGCCCAGGGCCCCATGCCCCCCAGCAGAGGATCTGCGGAGGGTCTGCGAGCCCAGGCCCTGCCTGGGGGACAGAGGGCAGGTATTGGGCAGCAGGGAGGGAGAGCTTGTGGCTCCCACAGCGTGCTGGAGGGGCTCAGGGCTGGCATCCTCCGCCTTGCTGGAGCAATGCATCCGCGTGGGGTGAACCACAGCTGTATTTGCCTTGTGGGGCTTCCTCCTCCTCCTCCTCCCATGCTTCTTGCCAGCCCTGATGGCGTGGGACCTCAGTGGCTGGCCGAGGCCGCACAGCCCTGCTGAGTCTGATCTCAGTGCTGACATAGCAGGAAGAAATAAAGCTGACTTTCTGTCTGCCTGCAAGCAGC